TGAGTATGATTCCAAATCCAGACCTCCATGGGATAATTTTGATTTACACTGATCATTTTTATGTTATTTTGTTCTCAACGCATTCTACTATGCAATGAATAAAGATTTTCAACTGGAATATTTCATTCATTGAGATGTAGGATGTTATTTTAGTGTTCCCTTTATTTTTTTGAGTGGTGTATTTTCAAAGAATACATGTTGATTTATTGCAGTACTGTTAACACAAGACAACAAGCTTAAATGGGATCCATGGGGAAGGAATTTGCAATGCAGTCTTTAAACACTTAGATTTATTTGCTTTCATGTTGAGAATGGGATGAGAGCATTGATACCACTCTAGTGCCTTAGCTGCCAGTTAGCTTAACACAAAAACTAGAAACAGGGAGGAACCGGCTAGTTTGGCTCTGTTGTCCAGAGGGCATTATATAGCAGCCATTCTTCTGGATCCTGACTTATTTACCATCATGACAGGTTGCAGAACCCGGCTGCGGACACAGATCAGGCAGGTAAAGTGTTCAAGTGAAAATGAAAACCAATACAAAAAGTGCAAACTAAACTGAGTGGAAAACAGAACAGGGTAAACCAGACTGAGTTCAACAAAAGGACAATGTGAGCTGGGCTTTTATAGCAGGAGGTGGATGATTGAATGCAGGTGAGCTGATCCACACAGCTGTTTCCAGTACCTGTAGTCAGGCAGGTGACTGAGAGCGCGAGCAAGGAGGAGAGCGAGGTAGAGAGAAGGAGGGAAAAGAGAACAAGAGGGAGACGGGCAAGGGCTGAGGCTGGGTGGTCATGACATTTACAGATTAAACAAGCAGTTTAATTAGTGAGGTTTATAACTGAAGGCAGAAAAATGCTATTACCTGCAGACATCCATCCATAGCCATGTATTTACCAGATATGAATACAGATATCTTCTGTGACACAAACCCAGTTGTTAACTCATAGATTATCATGTGTTTATATGTGAATCATGTAGTCATATTTAATTACTTACATGTTTACTCATTTACAGAGAGACCAACGTTTCAGGTCAAAGCTGACCACGACATTGGGTAGTTAGGGTCCGAGGACCCTGCAGCAAGCAGGGTCCTTGCCTGCAAATGAATGAAAACTATATTTTATCCAGATTATTATATTGGGTAAAATATACCCGGTGTTAGTGATAGAGGGCAACATATTTAATGGGTGGAATTTACCCAATGCTAGTGTTTATGTGTTGAAATCAGGCGCTCCTTTGCACTTTTCAAGGGAAACAGCATTCAGGCCGGCCACATCCTCTGCCCCATTTCATCCACAGCTGTCATCCTGTCACAGGCCTAGTTTCTCTGCAATGCTAACAAGTGATTAACATGTAGCTAATGTTAATTTACATCTGCAATCATTAGCTATGCAGATTTTTTTTTCTACTAAAGCTAAGCTTTTAGCTAGTTAGCTACAAGTGAAGTTGTAGCACTCAGAGAGAGGAAAAAAAGAAATGTCCAGAAAATCAGTGAAATTCCTGACTGAGCACACTAACGTTAAAATTAGTAACACCATCACTAACGCCGGGTATATTTTACCCGATATAATATTCCGGATAAAATATAGTTTTCATCAATCTATGTAAAAGTACAACACTGTATGACAAATTGTAGGACTGGGACATGTGAGCCTTGTCTGGTGAAGGCTCAGTCTGGTTCTGGTATGGAGTCTTTCCAAGGAAATTCATGTAGTCAAAAAAATTTGGTAATGTTTCCCCTCTGAAAAAATGCCATTTTTTGTCAATCTCTGCCACAGTTGTCAGTGATGCAGAAAGACTGTGCCTTCACCAGACAAGGCTCACATGTCCCAGGAATGGCTGGACCAAAGAACAAGTTCTCAGCTCCATTATTTTTTCTGTTTGGAAATTTCTCGTTCAGGATTACCTGATTTTTCAATAATTTTGCTGCCTTTTTATAGGGTCCCCCATGGTACTTTTTAAAAAAATGTTATGTGATATTGTATATTAGGAAATTAAAGAAGAGTACTACAATTTGTCATACAGTGTTGTACTTTGACATAAATTAATGAAAACTATATTTTATCCAGATTATTATATCAGGTAAAATATACCCGGCGTTAGTGATAGAGGGCAACATATTTTATGGGTGGAATTTACCCAATGCTAGTATTTATGTGTTGAAATCAGGCGCTCTTTGCACTTTTCAAGGGAAACAACATTCAGGCCGGCCACATCCTCTGCCCCATTTCATCCACAGCTGTCATGCTGTCACAGGCCTAGTTTCTCTGCAATGCTAACAAGTGATTAACATGTAGCTAATGTTCATTTACATCTGCAATCATTAGCTACGCAGATTTTTTTTTTCTACTAAAGCTAAGCTTTTTGCTAGCTAGCTACAAGTGAAGTTGTAGCACTCAGAGAGAGGAAAAAAAAGAAATGTCCAGAAAATCAGTGAAATTCAGTGCAGCTGGTCATGTGACTCACTGACAGGCTGAGCAGAGACAGAAAAATGGCTCCTTCAACTTAAAGCAGGTTTAACTTGAAGAACGGTCAGATGGGCATGAGGGTCCAACGCAGACCGAGGACCCGACTAACGCTGCTTGCAGCATTAATGTGACATAGGAGTTAGTAGGGTTAAAGAAATAATATATAATATAATAATAATAATACCTAAACAGATTATTTTCACATGTAGAGATTTACATTTTTGACAGCCTGATTTAAAAATGGATTAGACTGAAGTAAACATTATCCTACGCTGCAGTTGTTCCTGGAACTGGATAACATATATAGACACACTTAATCAATCAACTGATCCTTTGATTCCAAAACATACGACTTCAGGAGATTTGTGTTTAGGTATCAGATATCACCTCAGCTGCACTCGTCTTCACGGTGACTGGATTAGAATGGATTCCAGGAGACAGCAGAGTGGATATCTTGATGAAAGATCAATACCAATTGTGTTTACTCTAAGGGCTGTAACTGATACAGACCCCACATTGAGCCTCTTAGAACACCTTTAAATCACCTCACCTTTAAGACATCAAAGGTTAAGAAACTAAGAAAAAGATGAAAGGTGATTTCTCCCTACCTTATGAGTCAACTATATGTGCTTAAAAATTCACAAAATATTAAAAAGGTCTGTTTTACATCAGCACTGCTGCTGAGAATAGAAATGAAGAACAAAGAAGAAAAGATTAAATGAGTGTAAAATATTAATCTCTATTAATCTCTTGAAAAGCACTCTCCGTGTTCATTTCCTTGGTATGAAATTATTTTGGGAAAAATGGCTTGAACAGCATCAGAGGAGTCAGTAAATCAGTGCAAAGTGTGAAAAAGACCTGGTCGTCTGTGTGCATGCATGTGTGTTGAGGCAGCCATGCAGAAAGAGGTGATGTCACCACATCAGACTATGCCAGCTGGCGTGGTCAGATATCCTGTGATTTCCCATGATTCCTCCTGGGTAAACAAGCACTTCTCCCACTGGATTTACGCACATGTATCTGCAAACACTGGGCCTGCGGAGTTTGATGTAGAGAATTATTTGTTTGTCCTTAAAGCTTATGTAAATACATTTGCAGAAAAAAACTCTCTGAGCGCTCATTCATCGACAACAATTTCACTTCACTGTGATGCAGATCCAAGGCCACTGGCAGGAGTTTGAGTGATACTAATATCAACGACATGTCTAACTAACTGACCTGCAGCGCCGGTCCAATCTATCACTGCTCCAAGAAGGTCACACCACACTTTGATCAAAAACAACTGATGCGTGACCTGAATGACCACTGGACTTTAATATCTGTCAGAGGTCTCAGGCTCTCGGAGAGCATGAAACTGGTCGTATGTACACTGTTTAATGTGTGCTCACTCAAGTGTGTTATTATGTGATGAAGTCCACGCATAGAGAAACAACGAGTCTGCATGGACGTTTGTGTTCTGTGCGCACGTGTTCATGTTTGTGTGTCTGAGCGTTTGCCAACTCTGTAAGCCAAATCAGAATGTAACATTACCGGAGCTTTGTCAGCAAATCTCCACAAGCTGCAGCCCACTGAACATAACAAATAAAGCACATGTCGCTTTTGTGGGCAAATTTATCCCAAGAAAATGTATAGAGGTACGCATGAATATATCTGTGGCATTTTGAGATTTAGGGTATTTACAGTTTTGTTTTATTCCTGGTTGTTTCTCTGCTGGATTAAAGTCCGTTTTTAGCTTTAACAGGGTTTTATGAAAAAATGTGAAGGGCCCAGCAATGTCTCCTGACTTTGGCACCACCTGGTTTCTGTTGTTATTTTTATGGCACATTTATTACAAGAGACTTTGAGCCAACTTGCTTTCCAATAGAGAAACACGATTTTTATAACACATTTAAATTTTCTGGTATAGACCCTATAAAATTATACAGAAAACCAAATGAACTCCTTCTTGAGCAAACCCTTTATAGCCCCAGTTCCTTCACACACCACTGACACTGTGCATCGTGGTTACATTTATTTCACACAGGTTGTCATCATAAACTGTATTTTTTCTTCTCTTACCTTTTATTTGCATGACTTTACTCTCTTCAGGGATCAAATTTAACATAAAAATTCTTATCTTTTCTGACTGATTACTTTAGTTAAAGGTAGTAGTTTGAAATTTTGGTAAATATGCTGATTTGTTTTCGTTCTGAGCGACAGATAAAAAGACTAATGCTCATCTCTCTGTTAAATATGGAGCTCTAGTCTAGTCTTTGTAACCCAGGTAGCTTTGACTTTATAGTTGCCACACAGACATTAGAGTGGTATAACTTTTTCGGCAAGAAAGATGTCAGAATATACTATTTTCTGCTTTGCTACACAAGCTCAGTTTCAAAAATGTGATTTCAAATTGTAATTCGACCCACTTCTGTTGCTTTGATAGCTCTGTTCTGTTCTGCTCTGGTGACCTTCACTCATCTGTCACATTTATTCCTCTTTTTCCCTTTCACTTCTTTTCTACGCTGTCTTCCTTTCACCTTTCTGTCTGTTAGAGTAAAGATGCCGGCATCAGGACTCTGGTCATGCTGGATGAGCAGGGAGGTAAGTTGGTAGGGAGAGTTCACTGAACAATCTGTTTCACTTTAATCTGCTCTGCTCCTGATCCTCTCTCGCTGCAGTTTTACGCTGTACGATGGGAGAGTCATCATCAGTACGTCCAGTATGACACTGCAGAACACGAGAACAAGAAATGTTCTGGTTTTGTAATGACTAAAGAAGAAGAGCTCTTCATTTCTTTGTCAAAGTAACATTAGCTGGAGTCTTTGCTAATGTGGCTAACACAGTTATACTGGATGATACTGTTGAGCTCGCCTTCTGCTTTGCCTCCCTACATACACTTTTGTTCTTATTAGTAAGAAAAATACAAACTTATTTATTATTTATACTATAAGTATTATTATTTTGAGTGAGTTGTTAAATATTCATAACTTCTTGGTGTAAAACACTTTTTAAGTAAGCTGGACGTGTTTCCAGGACACCTGACAGACCACCTGATAGATTATTACTACTTTCGTGCCACATAGATTTTACCATTATCCTTTGGGAGGTAAAATAATGATCAATTTAACTGCTAATACTATATATACTGTGCCTCTTTTCCACATTCTCTGCCCTTTTCATGACATAATTCACCATTAGGAATTAGAGGGACACTGGCCTTTCCGTGGACATGAATTGTTTCAAACTAAGGATTTTTCCTCCTTCTTTCGGATTTTCAAAGGCCAGAATAGATGACAGGACTTCAGCAAAAAAGGTGATATTTAGAGAAAGGGCAGAAAAAGAAGCATACCAAGTAACAACAAGCATTCTTATCTTTTATTTCAGTTGTAAAAACTCAGATATATCTGATGTTTGACCCACTTCAGTTATTACAAAGCTGGTGTTACAAAGTGTGGCGAAGGAGCTCTAGTTTATGGAGCTTGACTCATTTTAGGAATTATAACTCAGGACATCTCAGCCTCTGCAGCATTGACTTTAAGCATTGTTTTTCTAAAATCTTGCTTTGCTATTCCACAAACTTTACGGATGTATTTATAAGCCCAAATCATAAGTAGCGTGCAGCAACAGACGGGGAGCTAAGTTGTGTCAGCTGTTTTTAAATTCAAGTGTAGCCCAGTTCTAAGTGCAAGTGGAGATTTATGCAGTGTAGCTAACATTAGCTTTGTTTATGCAGGACCTGTTTAGAATGAAGAATAAATGAGACAGTTTGAAATATGAATCTGACATGATACTTAGTCAGAGTTTTGTGTATTAATTATATAGACTAAGGAGTTTTTAATTTACATATCAGATAAGGAAACAGCAAAAGCACTGATGACCACATAATGTCGCTTACATTAACTATTAATTTATTCTGAAACACATTTCTTAGATTTTAATGATGCACTTCATGTCATGAACTATTCTGAAGCAAGCTTTGTTTGACCGTAAGAAGGACTTTATGTCCAAACTAAATAAAGCGTTCATTTGCAAAAACGGATAAGTGCCACCCTTTAAAAACTCAGCTGACTGACGTAAGTTGTTCCTAATGCAAAGCACGTTCTAAATCCTAAATGTGTTTCGGAATAGTTTAGAAAGTCAGCACTGTTCTTCAACAAAAATGAATTAATTCATAGATTAATTTAACAAACACGTGTGCTGTGTTCAGGTCAGGTGGCACGACATGCCGATGGTTCTGTTCAGCCAGAGATGCGCTGTCCGTGTCTGCAGGAGAATTTCATTGTAATGTTGGCTTTTTGTACTGTAAAGTAACTTCTATCTGTTACATGACTGTGTTTAACTTTGAAACACAAAATCCAGAGTCATCTGCTTTTGCCAAAAAAATACTAACTTTGAATTTGTAAAAAGGAGGGATATCACTTGGAATACACAAAGACAAAATCATGGTTTATGAAAAATGAAACATCTGCAGATGAACTCTTCGTGGAGTTATTCATGAATAGCCATTGTACACAGTATTTGGGTGGTTCTTGTGAATTAAACGGGGCAAATTGGGACTCTTTAATGAAGTCTGCAAGAGAAAGCTTTACAAGTCTGCCCAGTATATCCACCTTCAACAACACAATGAAATATGGGCTTCGCCAATGAATCTTGAGACTTTTTTGTGACGTGAAACCAAAAGTTGCATTTGTCAATAGCAGAATATCTGAACTCAACATCTCTAGATTTACAACATTAATATGAAATATTGGTAAACTGCAGTAAATATAAATACTTAGCACTGAGAACTGTGACTGTGATAAACTGCCAGATACACATTCACAGATTGGGAGCAAACTTCTGAAGTTTGTCCACTCCACCAGCCAGTTTGCTCTTCTAAATTGTTTGGAATGTGCTTCTTTTTTTTTCTAAAAGTATTGGCTAAAAGGACACAAGCTGCAGTCAGAGTGACGTGTTGGAACTGTCACCTGATGTGTCTTTATTGTTATCAGACTAATGTTTGAAGACTTACAAAGTTTTCATTGTCTGCACCCACATTAAAGTGACTGGTGTTTTGTGAGTGCACATGTAGCGTAAAGGCACATTTACAGTGTGTAGAGGAGTGTGTAGTCGTAGTAAGAGTGGAATGTGTGTGTGTCTGTCTGTGTGTGTGTGTGTGTGTGTGTGTTACCAAAGGCTTGTGCTTAGTTCCATGCGTGAAAGAGCAGCCTAATTGGCCTGTCAAAGGAACAGATAGCCTGTTTCCCCCTTTCTCTCTCCTCTCTCGCTCTCCTTCCTTTCTTCCTTCCTTCTTTCCTTCCTTCTTTCCTTCCTTCTACTTCCCCCCAGACTAACTGCTGCCACAGCTCACTGCTGTTATCACAGGACAGCAATCAATTCACAGATTTAAATTACCTCTGCCTCTGAGCTAATGTCCTCTATACCTGACCCCCCATCTGTCTCCCTCTCTGCCTTTCCTTTCCTTTACTCTATTTCATGCTCCTTCTCTTCTTTCCTTTGCTGTTTTCCTGACCTCCTCTCTTTTCTTTCTCCTTTGCCTTCATCTGGATGTAACTGTGGCTGTAATAATGATGTAGCTCTTTCCTCTGTTCCCTCTTTTTCTTTCCTTCTCTGTCGTTTACTGATGATGGCAGCCTTTGCTGTTCGAGGCTCTGTCAGATTCCACATGTTATTTGCTTCAAGAATTCCTCGTATATCGCCATTGCAGAAATAAATACTTGGGTGTAATAGCTTGCCGTGAGCTGTAATAATTAATACAGTCTTGTCGAGCAGTAAACTGGGGTGTGACTAATCCCTGTGCCCTTTACACACACACACATGCACACACACACATACAGGTCACACATAGGAAGAGATTTGTCATTTCATACAGTGATGTATTACCTGTGCTGGAGGTCTCTCTGCAGCTAATGAGTCCCTCCCTGCTCGGCTGTTACATGCATGTTGACCTGAATTAGACCCACAGTCAGAGCGGATGGATTATAGCTCTGACTCAGTCAACTCAGCTTTCCTCGGCTACGTTTTCAGCCGCGCAATAAGTGTGGTATGATTTATATTCATAATAATAGGACCTGCAATAATTGAATTAAATTGATGAATTGTGATCTAGGTTGATCCATTTTTTCTCTTTACCAGTTCATCTCTGGACTGAGACTGAGAGCGATTCATCAACCCTCCTCAGTAACTCAGAGACAATCAACAGAATATTGTTCTGTGTAGCACCCATCAGTGTGTCATTTGGCTTCATGTTGACTGTTTGTGATGCTGTGGGTGATATCACTTTTACCAGGTCGAACACACAGTTGAAGATATATATTTTACATATTGCGGTGAAGCTAAGAGTCAGTATATTTTTTATGTAAACAGCCAGAGGATGTGATGGAGGACAAAAGCGGATGATGCATAGATGATGCTTCGTGAGCTGTGGCCAATATGGCTGCCTGGTTTGCTTCGCTCCCAAGAAGGACAATATGAGTTGTTCCAGCAGGTACCCTCACTTGGGTGAAAACACTTGTGTGCAGGAAAGATTGTGACTGGTAGAGAAGAGGAAATCCAGTGATAGATGCAAGATGGTCCAAGTATGAGCCTGTAGGGTCCATAAGCCGATGAAAAGACAGCAGCAGAAGATCAACGCGTTTGTTTTGTTTACAAACTGTCATGTTTATGTGCTCAAGAATGTAGTGTTAACGTAATGTTTTGTCAAGTTTAAAGAAGTAGCTAAATGTTCCTTGCGGTGTGATTGGTGTTAAGAAATAGTACGCTAAAATATCTAAAAATACTGCCTTCTTGGCATTATATGAAGCTGGTGTTAGCCTGTTGGAAAAGCTAAAATCAAGGTTATATAATTGTGAAATAAAGGTAAACAACATCAGTGTTTAATTCAGGTGAGTTGTTTATGTTTGTCTAACGTTATCCTGCTTGAAAAAACTTAAAATACAAGCGTAACAGAATAATGACTTCGTTACCAACCAGAAAACCACCATACAAAACAAGCTAACTGATCTGGTGGACTTGGGGTGTGATGAAATGTACGTTACATGGACTCAGGTGGACCCTCAAGGACACAGGAAATACACCACTGCCCGTACACTGCTGTCTTGTCGCTTTGAGCTAAGAACGCCTCCCATCCATACATGTGAGGTAGATCTTTCGAGCTACATGCAGACGTCTGCAGAGAGGCCTGCGTGGACTCTCACACACTTGGACAGACTCATATGGTCATGGACATAGAAAGTATAACACCAGCCTAAAGTTGGATCCACTTCATTTTCCTCGCATCTTGCTAATGTTAAAATGCAAGTCTACGTTAAATTGTTCACCTTTCATTCAGTGTTAAAAAGCGTAAAACTAACTGTAACAGCAGTGGTTTGTCTTCTTTCACATCTGGGCACCCTCAAGGTAGTGACCCACTTCACACCATCTAGGAACCTTACCCTCCTCCCATTGTCTCACAGATTTCCTGGCATGAGGTCTGGCCCCTTCTTAATGGATGGGTCAACAAAACATTTAATCGTGAGACTGCTGTTTCAGTTTTTTCCACCCACAGTCAACTCATCTCACTTTGACTCACTATGCAGGACAGAGGAGGGCATCGGAGGCCATCCCAGGGTAATCCTCAGAGAGGGGGGGAGGAGGCAAGTTGTTAAGTCAGGCCTGCCTGTCCAAAGCTGAGAAGATCAACAATTTCTCTTTCTCCCTCACACGGCCCTCCTCTGCTTGATCCTTCACTTTGTGTGGGATAATTACTGAAGGCCTTTTAGTTGTCTCCTGTAGCACTTCATTGGTTAACTCCTCAGTTTAACACAGTGTTGGAAGAATTTAGCTTTTAAGATCTGCCTCACCATAAAGATTTGTTTATTTTGTGGACCTCTCCCTGACATTTTTACAATTAAATCTAAGGTCCATATCATAACAACGCTTCAGAAGCCCTTCGTTACAGCAGGCTTCAGATAGAGATCGCTAATTGTAGCCGCTGTAGAGACTGAAGCTGTGTGAAATGACCATCTGTATTGTCTGCATTACAATGTGACTAATCAAACCCTGAGGAGTTTTTCCTGAGAGACAGAATGCCCTCCTCCACTGATGGAGATAACAGCTCTCCTGTCCTATAACCATTAACCAGCCAAAGAGAGGCTCTGACCTTGAATCAGGGCTTTTTATAGCACTGCACCGGATTGGCCATCTGAGGAAGGAAATGTGCAAGTCTTCATGCACCTACATGATGCTTTTTCAGTCATTTATTTTAGTCATTCATTACATGGTTTGTTTTTTTAGGGTTTTTATTTATTTATTTATTTATTTATTTATTATCTTTAATACGCTGTCACAGTTTCATTTAGGCTGTTTCTGTCCATTTAGACTCTTCTAAATCCACTCTTTCTTTGTCTTTCGATTCATTTTGGATCTCGTCTGGGTTGATTTCACCCGTTGAACTTTGCCTCATTAGAGCAACTGTAAATTTGTTCTCATCTTTAACTCTCTTTGTCATGTCTGCTCTCATTGACATGCAGTAGTGTTCAAACGGTGAAAGTGGCAGAATTCATGTACAGATGAGGTTCTGGATGAAGCACACTGCTACTGCCACTCAGATGAAATACAGAGAAAAGAATTATGTCCCTGTGGATGGAGGTAGGGGGGAAAAAAACTGCAAAAGCTGAAGAAAAAAGTCACACTAAAAGGTACAGATGAGGAGAAATTAGGATTAATATCGTTTTAACTCATTGTGTAAGCAGAAATACGAAGGTGCTCTTAATGCTTGTTGCCTGCTTTGCCTTCTGCACCCAGCCCGAAACATTCTGCCTCTTGCACTGTAGCGTAGCGCGCCCAACCTCGAGACGAACCAGTCCATTTTATTTCACTGCTCTCATGCCTTTGTCCTCACCAGAACAACTTGATCGTGTGGAGGAGGGCATGAACAAGGTGAACGCAGACCTGAAGGAGGCCGAGAAAGATTTAAAAGATATAGGACAATGCTGTGGTCTGATATGCCCATGTATTAAAAAGTAGGTACCGGCGAGGAGCTCCGCGCTCTTGCCTGTCCAGTGCTGGTGGTGGTGGTGATGTCTGATGTCTCTCTTGTCACAGTCAATGTCTTTTTTTGTCTCCTCTCCTTTGTCTCCCCTCTCTACTCTCCTCCCCTACCCACCCCCCGCGACTTCTTCCTCCTCTCTTCTCTTCTCATGTGCTTTCGTTCTTTTGCTGGGATAAATGACAATGTGTTGGTAATCAGAACAACTGGAGCGCATCGAGGAGGGGATGGACCAAATCAATAAGGACATGAAGGATGCAGAAAAGAATTTGAACAATCTAGGACAGTTCTGTGGTCTATGTTCATGTCCCTGTAACAAGTAGGTGATGCCTGTGTCGCCTGACTGCATGTGTTTCAGTGCCTGCCTACCTGCCTCTCCATCCATCTGCCTGCTTCTGGTGTGTAGAGCATGGTGAACTGTGGTGTGAGCAGTCAGGCCTAATGCCACAACAACAACAACAACAACAACAACACACTCTCTGAACAGGCTCCAGCACCGCATGCACAAGTGTGTGTGTGTGTTTGTCTGTTTAAATTAAGACTGAGGTCGAGTGAAAGATTGTGTACGTACATGGACAACACACACCACAACATGTGCACGACTGGTCCGATGCCAGCCTCAGTGGCTGTTGTCCTCAAAAGCCCTTCATTCCACATTGGATGAGAGATTCTCTTCCAGCAGGTAGCAGCATCCACACGGATCTTGGCCACGGCACCCACCAACCCTGTAAACCCCACCCAATCACCCACCCTGACACCCTGCAGCATGAGCCATCATGCTGTGTGCAAGTCCAACCCAACCAAAGACTAAATCAACTAGTTGCCTTCTTCTTCATTGCTCATTTTAAATGTTACCCCCATTGTAGCCAATTGATAACCTATTAATATTGACTTTTTTTTAATGTTTTACACAAATTAATTGATTATATGGGGCTCTTGCGACACACTCAACCAAAGCGGTATTTTAAATGATCAGTAGAAACTTTTGTTCCATTGTGATAGAATCTTACTTCCAGCAATTTGGAAGTTTTCACTTAATGTGTTTTCAAAAATGTGTAACTTTATTTTAACTTGCTGCTGTTGTAATCAAGAAAATACAAGTAATATACAGCCAGTACTTGCTGTCAGACAATCTAATGAGTCATTCAGATCAGAAATCTACTTTAAACTTTTAGAAATACATTTATTTTCTTTTTTGCAGAGAGTCAGGTGAAAGCATTGATGGTCAATATGTATGCGGAGCCAGCAGACCATTAGCTTAGCTTTGCACATAGACTGGCAGCAGGGAGAAACAGCTAGCCAAGCTATGTATATAAACTCTAACCACCAGCATCTCAAAAGCTCATTAATTAATACATTATATTTAGTTTGTTTATTGTATATACAACTCAAAGAATGAAAAGAATACATGTTGTTGTTTAAGTTACGTGTCGGACTATTCCCTGGCCGATGCTGTTTTTGTACAGACTAACAAATTAGTTCTAATGTGTTAATTAGTGAGCTTAAGATGTGCTAAGCTAAGCTACCTGTCTGCTGTTGGCAGCTTTATTTAGTGTGTACACGAGCAAGAGTGGTATCAATCTTTCATCAAACTCTGTAGGCGTATTTCCCAGAATGTCGAACTATTCCTTTAAGAGTCATTTTTTGGGTTTTTGTACAAAGATTTACTAAGTGTTTTTGAATTATTTACTCTACTGACAGTACAGTACACAAACCTTTTAATAGTTCAAGGTGTTCTCTGGACTGTAACTATAGTTGCTATTTCATCACTTACAAACAAAAATAGATGTTGAAGCAGTGAGAGCGGCTTTGGTTTTTGGCCCTCAGGTTACAGACTATTACTACAGTGTATGCTTCTTTTCCCTCAAGACTGTCTAACATAATGAAATATCATACATGAGTTGGGCAAACTTGTTTTCTGAGCACACTCAACATCCGGTCACACCATTTTAATCAATAATTTTCAAATACTTTGAAATCTTTGATGGAATCCTAATGCCAGTTTTGCCAAACTCCTGTGTGATGTGTTCTGAAGCCCTCAACAGCCAAACTATGGCCACTGAGTCATGTCTGAGCTTACTTTACTTTGGGACCTGTAATACATGTACTGTATGTAGTTGTGTATCTCAGAGCTATAGAAAACACAAGTGAATGACAACCCTCCCTCCCAATAAAAACAATCACAGGCTATATTCTATGTTGGGTTGACAGAACGATGCCTTAAAGGAAGTACGTGCAACATATTGTATTTAAGGTCACTTATTAGTTAAAATCAGCTTTTCTCTTAAACAGAACCAAAGATAAATTATCTGTTTTGTATCTGACCTCTAAGTAAGGATCTTGACTCTAACAAATACAGCTAATCTGTTGTGTTAGTTGTCATTTTCTAGGATAAGTTGTCAGGTTGTTTGTTTTTTTAAACAGCCACAACTTGATTTTGGATGAATAGTTTGTTTCTATTAGGTGTTTGCCACATCTGTTTGGTACACCTTGGCAATGCTTCCAGACGGCATTGTTTTGGGTTGGGATCTTGTATATTCTATAGCTCTTTGGTCCTCCCTTTCATGAACCACTTGTTATGTAATCCTGTGGTTACGTCATGTGTTTCATTGGATCTAGATTCTGTATATGGCAGCCCCGGGTCAAATAGCATGAAGAAAATAATTCTTGCTTGTTGTTCTAGCCTGACTGGAGCACCTGATGGGTGTCATGCACCACCTCAAGACAACGCTGTGAGACGCAAAATGAGCGTCACTCATTGGAAACGGAGCAAAATGAACTTGATTCACTGCGTTGTCCTCAGTGGAGGCCTTCACCTATCAGATACTCCAAGCATCATGAAACAAACGCTAAGAATTACATTTGCTTATTTGACTGAATGCAGTCTATCATCCCACAGATCTATCCATCCAGATGAAATGAAGGGCTCATCACAGCTAGTCTTCCATGCAAAATGATCACTGATTTTGTTTTTGTTTTTTTCCTTTTGGTTGTTTTTTTCACCACACTGAATCTAACTGGACAGCTTTCTTTCAATAGATACAGCATATATCTGATCCTGTTCCTCTTTACATGTTTCCCTTTCCCATGTCAAACAGTGTGTAATATGTTTCTGCCTTGCGTGTTGTCTCACTGCATGTTTGTGTATCTGTGTGTGTGTGTGTGTGTTGGTGTCTCCTCTGTCTGGAGTCTGCTTATTGTGTTCTGTGTTTGTGCTCTTTGTATTTGCTTGTGGGAAAGGGTTTTCTCAGCTCTGATTTCTCTCACAGAAGGCACACGTGTGAGCTTATTGTGTTTTGATTCAATTGATCTGCATGCTGGATCAATTATTCACTAACAAACTGCATGTATGGAACTTTATCATACGTGGCATGTTGCTTCTAGTCGACTAATTGGCCCGACCTCATGTTTGCATTGCATTCTAAACATATATTCATGTATATGTTTTGATAGTGAATCGCAAAAAAAAAAAACATGCATGTAGTAAAACTGCATGGACACACTCACACACACACATATACACACACTGGCTCACCTACACTTCACATTCACAAAACAGTTCACAAATATGCACAGCAATATTCACAAACACTCACAAGCAGCGACAGTGTCCCTGACTGAAATGTGTGTGTGGTAGGATTAAGGGCGGGGGCCAGGCCTGGGGAGCCAACCAGGATGGAGTGGTGAACAGCCAGCCGGGGGCTCGAGTGGTGGACGAGCGCGAACAGATGGCCATCAGTGGGGGCTTCATCCGCAGGTAAGCATATATGTGTGTGTGTAGGTGTTGGTTTACGCGTGCCACTGTGTGCGTCAGTGTGTGTTCGTGTTCGTGTTCGTGTTCATGTGTGTGTGTGTGTGTGTGTGTGTGTGTGGGCGGCTTGCTTGTTTCTGTGTGTGTATATAGATGCTTAGATATGTTGTCGAATATCTTTGAGTTTGTGATACTGTTTACATCCATAAATACGTAATGTCACATGAGATTTAGCCTGGAATTGGTTCAACATTTGACTTTTAACCTCCTAAGACCTGCATGGACATCACATTTTGGCTTATATTACCACAGTAGTTAAGTTTTTT